TTTCTGAGGAAATAGAGTTGTTTTAGGTGGTGTTTCCAGCTTCATATAGTTTCAAAACTTATCAAACTGAACTTTTAACACAAAGCGTAACAAACTGAACTGTAAATTACATCTCAATAAAAAATAGAGTAGACCGGGCTTGGTGGCTCAATCTGTAATCCCAGCACTTTGGGAGGCCAAGGCGAGTAGATTGCCTGAGCCCACGGGTTCAAGACCTGCCTGGGCAACTTGGCAAGACCTCGTCTCTACAATAAATAAAAAAAATTAGCTGGGCATGGTAGCGCACTCATGTAGTTCCAGCTACTTGGAAGGCTGAGGAGGAAGGATCGCCGGAGCCCAGCAGGTCGAGGTTGCGGGGGCTGGGAACGTGCCACTGCCCTCCAGTCTGGGTGGCAGAGTCAGACTCCAACTCAAAAAAAAAAAAGAGTAAATCGAGCCAGTCACTATTTAGGTACTGGGGACACAGTGGTGATCCAGACAAATAAGAAATAAAGTCTCTGCCTGTGTGTGTGTTTTAGATTAGAAAATATAGTTTAATTAAAAGGTAAATTAAAGCGAGACAGAAAGAAAGAGGAGACTCACCTCCCAAGGCAGGGAAGGGGGCCAAAGCCAGGAAGCATGGTGACAGCCATAGCTCAAAGAGTACATTGTCACACCAGAGTCTAGTAAGGCTATGGCCTCTTGTATATCTTATATTGTGATTGAGGGACATGAGGTGGATAAAGTCACTAAAATACATGTTTCCAAATGATATGAAGGAATTGGGAATATGATATAATAATTTGACATACTGTATGTGAAAAAGTGCATCACCATGCCCAACTAATTTTTTGTAGAGACAAGGTCTTGCTGTGTTGCCCAGGCTGGTCTCAAACTCTTGGGCTCAGGCAATCCTCTCCCCTCTGCCTCCCAAAGTTTTCAAGATGTATCTGGTGGTCCAGTTATTCATTCCTTTTTGTTGTTGACCAGTATTCCAGTCTATGAATATGCCAACATTTGTTTATAAATTCTTCTGTGGGTAGATACTTAGGTTGCTTCCAGTTTGGGGCTATTACAAATAAGGCTGCTGTGAACATGCTTATACAGGTCTTTTTGTGTGTATATGTTTTCACTCTGTTCCACTTTCAAATTTTCATTTCAAAATGGACCCCTTCTAGATAAATAAAGCTAATGCCCTTACAGCTGCCAGTTCTGGCATGTTTGTGTTATTCTGGGAAATATACCATTGAAGTCTCAGTCACTGCTTTGTCTTTACGTTTCAAAGAAGCAAACTAGTTCAAGTGGGCAAAAAATCATAGCTAGTTTGTATATGTGGAAATAAGCTCTTTTCTGACTTTTGAATGGGAAGATTTATGTTGTTCTAAATGTAAATGCTATGTAAGCAGCTGTTAAACTTTATTGTTTTAGGGAATAATGACAAGAAATGTGTCCATGTTCAATACAGCTAAAATCATAAGCCTAACTACATTTTTTTAAATTTATGGTTAGTTGAATCCACAGATACAGGGGGCAGACTGTACTTAGAAAAGGCTGACACATAATTTGTCTTAAAAGCCTTACTCTTGAAAATGTGACATACTAACCCTTAACTGTACCCCACAAAACCATAATAAAAAATACTGATTAATGAAAAAAAAAAAAAAAAAAAAGAAAATGTGACATAAACAAAGACAGGTTGTTTCTAATAGATAAGAACAGTCTATAGTTAACTAGTAGTATCAGGTAGTTAAGAAGCGTATGTGTTTTCTAAGAACACACGTCATCATGAGAGTTAATTGCTTAAAAAAACAGCTAGCTCTAAATAGGGAAGGAAATATAGGCAACAATCAAGTAAACTATACAGTTTTTGGTTCTAATTTTTACAGAAGAAAATGGAAATGTTTTTGGTCTCCTGGACATTTTAAACAATTACTTGCTGGAAAGTTGTTTTTCAGGTTTTTATTTCAACAAAAGCTTACACTATGGATTCTACAAGTAGCTCATTCAAGAAAGCTAAATGTCATTAACTATTACAATCTATTCTGAATGGGAAACTGAGAAAGGAAAACATTCACTGAAGTTTTTCCTCAGTAGTTCCCCAAAACAGACCCTGCAACTGTTTTGTCCTTTTCAAAACAGACTCTCATTTATTTTTTTTTAAAAAGCAGTTATTATAAGTATGCTCATGTTTCCTGAATAAGCAGTGCTATAAGAACTAAATTGTAGTCATACTGCAATGAAACTTAAGTTAAATATGTGTTATTAACTCATTCATGATCATTGACACAAATTTACATCATTCCAAATTCTGTGGGTTACCACTGACATGAATTTACATCTTTGCAAATTCTTTTTCTGAACAATATATACTCAGTTTAAAATCCAAATAAAAATACAAAGTACGGAATGTTAGTCAGAGAGGTGTCTGAGGCAAATAGTGGATATGTCTGCAACTTTCAACGTTACTGTGAAAAAGATGACAATTTAGAAAAGACCACTCCACTTGTGCTTAACGATAGAAGTTGTGGCAACTGGCTTCAGATCATTTTAACTTCACCTGCAATCAGTATTAGGAAAGTGAAAACTTTATCGATTGTGAATGTTATGATACCAGAGTTGTCATTATTTCTGAGAATTAGTCCTCACTATTTATGTATCACTGATTTAAAAGGCAAAAGGTTTGGCTGAGCTTCCTTAATGCCTTTAATAGAAATTAAATATTTATTGACAGTAGGGATCTTCAAGAAAACATTTCTAAAATCTTCTAGCCACTAAATCCAGTTTAGTAGTTAAAAACTGAAACCATTATAAATGCATCCACCATCAGAATCAACAGATGTAAATCATTGGGATGAGGGTAAATTTCCTTTTCTGACTATTAAAAACACAGAAGTTAACTTATGCAAATTACTAAGGTAAATTGGCAAAAGGGAACAAATGTCACAAAATAATCATTATCTTTTGAACATTTTAGTGACTACATTCAAGAGTATAATTCAAGGGGGAGGGGGAGTGACAAATGCTATATGGCTACTTACCAGTGAACTATAACATTATGACTAAAAAAATGGAAACATTCCAAATTTTCAGCTGCAGGGGAATGGCCAGACCCACTGTGATGTTAAAACTAAATTAAGATTATATAGTTGTTAGAACAAAATGAGGATTACACTAAAATATGTAAAGTACTTAAGTAAAATAAACGATAAATGGGGGGAAAGTAAAATTTTACACAATTGCTGCAATTCTATCAGAAAAACTACTGGGATCAAAAGATTCTGATATGTACAACCACTTGGTGATTTGAAATAGTTTTCTCATTTTATTTTTATTTGTATGTTACTTCTGATACTTAGATGTTTCTTTATAATGTTTACTATTGTTACCATCATTTCCACTCAATTGCATGTTTTCTACTAAAACTCTTAACATCTAAAAATGTTAAAATCTCAGCCGGGCTCGGTGGCTCAGCCTTTGGGAGGCTGAGGTGAGTGGATTGCCTGAGCCCGCGGGTTCGAGACCCGCCTGGGCAACTTAGCAAGACCTCATCTCTACAATAAATCAAAATTTAGCTGGGCGTGCGCACGCCTGTAGTTCCAGTTACTTGGAAGGCTGAGGCAGAAGGATCGCCGGAGCCCAGCAGGTCGAGGCTGCGGTGGCCGGGAGCGGCCACTGCACTCCAGTCTGGGCAACAGAGTAAGACTCCAACTCAAAAAAAAAAAAAAGTTAAAATCTCACAATTCATTTGTTAACAGAGCAGTTGTCTCTAACAGTAATTCAACAAATCACTAGATGTGGAAGAGAATTTAAGTGTCACCTAGTTTACTCCCATCTAAATCTATCCACCAGCAGAGCCTGTTTGTGGTTGTTTCTTTAATCTGAGAGGGGCTATCACCCAAAGCACCACATTTTTTAATTTTAAAAAAATCTTCCTTGGAGTGGAGTGGAAATTTACCTCCAAATAACCTTCACTAATTTGGTACCAGTACTGTCTTTTGGACTACACAAAATAAATCTTGCTTCTCATCTACCAGACAGCATTTTAGGTCTGCTGCTGTAGATCTTGAGAATGTTCCACACTAAGCAACCCTGTTTACCTCAGTCTTAACTCATATCTGCATTTCCTGGTATCTAGGACATAGGAACTCAGTACTTGCTAATTTCCTCACCATCCTACTCAGTCTGAGTCGGTTTTACAAATAATCCCCTTACAATGAAACGCTCAGAACTCAACAAAATCTTGCAAGTGTGGACTGCATTCTGGACATTTTCATCCTCTAGATGTGAAACCCTGCGTTGTGAATTCTTTTCCGTAAAGGAGGGACCTTAAGTATATAACGTTACACATATTCATTAAATGTCATTGTCTAATGACCCGTAATATTAGCCTTCAACACTGCGTAAGGAATCCTTCCTCAACTGAAGTCACCTCAACAGCCCCTGGGTTCGCAGTTACTAGGTGACCTCAAGTACCCCCGTGAAAGATCAACTCTTCCCTACAGAAATGGAGATTTCCTAATTTCGTTCCTAAGACAGCCACATACATACAGACACGCGTATGTCTGTATTTCTCTCCCACACACGTACTCCCACGCACACGCCGAGGGTGAAACCCAGTCGAGAGCCGGGACACCTGTCACACAGCGCCTTAGATAACGATAACTTGCCCTGTTTCAAGATAAACAAGCGCTGCGAGGAGCGATACCTGGGACAGCAGACAAAAGAGACTGGTCTACTCCCTACGCAGCACCTTCACTGCAAAAGCCGGTCTCTCGCCACGCCACGGAAGGACATCGGACAACCACAAGGAGAAGGACCCTGGGGCACCACGCGCCGACTCGGTTTCCCAGGCGACCCAGAGGCGGCTGCGCCTGCGCGCGCCCGCCGCCTTCTGCGCCGGGTCACAGGGTCACGTGCCGGTAGCCCCGCTGCGCCCCGCCCCTTGGCCCAAGGATTTCCACATCTCCTTCCCCTACTTGCGGAGCATGCGAGGATGGGGACTGGCTGGGCGAGAGGATTACCTGTGAGCCTGGCGAACCCGGTAATGCTCTCGGGGACTGGCAACCGCTTGAGATAGGCGGGGAGCTGGACCTTCACGATGCGGGCCACGCTCTCCAGCACCATCCTGGCCGCGGCACCCGCTCCGCTCCTCGCCCGAATCCCCTCCGCGCTCCGGCCCCGCCGCTGCGCCTGCGCCCAGAACGTAAGCGGCCGGCGGACACTCGCGGCCTGAGTCCAGGCGACGGGCGGGGCTGCGGGCCCTGGGAGGAGAGGTGACTTGCCGGGCGCCGATTGGCGGCGGGCGAGTGACGTGCACTCCCGGCTGGCTGCAGAGCTGCGGGTCCAGGAGGGGAGCGAGGCCCTCCTTGGAGTCTCTTTTTTGGAGACGTCCTTCACGTCGGGTCTCGGACGTATATAACGGAAAGGATGCTGAGTGTGATGAGAGAGTTTTGAGAGTGCTATTTAACCGGAAAGTGCCCCCAGGTTGCTCCCACCATCTCTCTCCGGCCCCTCGTCTCCCGCGACCGACTGGGTGCCTGAGCTCATGGGTTCAAGACCAGCCTGGGCAACTTGGTGAGACCGCGTCTCTACAACAAATCCAAAAAAAAAAAAAAAATTAGCCGGGCATGGTGGTGCACACCTGTAGTTCCAGCTACTTGGAAGACTGAGGCAGATGGATAACATGATCCCACCAGGTCGCGGCTGCAGTGGCCGTGAGCGTGCCACTGCACTCTGGGTGACAGAGTGAGACTCCAACTCAAAATAAATTAAGTGGTTATTATAACTAGATACAATTAATTTTTAATGTGCTTAATGCATAGTTATAATAATTTTTTTTTTTTGAGTTGGATTCTCACTCCATCGCCCAGGCTGGAGTGCAGTGGCATGCTCACGGCCACCCCAGCGTTGACCTGCTGGGCTCCAGTGATCCTTCTGCCTCAGCCTTCCAAGTAGCCGGAACTACAGGCGCGCACTACCACACCGGCTAGTTTTTGATCTTTTATTGTAGTGACGTCTCGCCAAGTTGCCCGGACTAGTCTCGAACTCTCGGGCTCACAAAGTGCTGAGATTACAGGCTGAGCCACCTAGCCCAGCGTATAATAATAAGTTATAGTTATCGGTGAATAAGCCTTTTCTCTAGCTTTGAGATCTTAAATTCAGAAATCCTACCTCTGTCCACAACCTCACATTCTGGTACCTTTTTCCCCCCACTCTCTTACATCCACTAAGCTTATTTTTTAGCTTCATCAAAATATTTAGTATTGAAACCACCTCTGTTTTTCTACTCTGTCAGCCCATTCCTGAATTTATTTATTTTTCCCATTCCTCACAATAGTTGCTCCAAATCCTCACTATTCTACATTAATTAATTATTGGGCTTCCTATTAATACTAGCAGGCTTGGTCAGGCACAGTGGCTCACACCTGTAATCCCAACACTTTGGAAGCCTGAGGTGAGAGGATTTCCTGAATCCAGAAGTTCAAGACCAGCCTGGGCAGCATAGCAAGACCTCATCTCTACAGAAAATCATAAAAATTAGCCAGGCATGGTGGCACACACCCGTAGTCCCGGCTACTTGGGAGGCTAAGGCAGAAGGATCAGCTGAGCCCAAGAAGTCAAGGCTGTGGTGAGCTGTGATTGTGCCTCTGCACTCTAGCCTGGGCAACAGAATGAGACGCCAACTCAAAAAAATAAAAATAAAAACTACCACACTTATTTTGAGCACAAATGAACTTGGTATTTAGTTACCAGAGAAGCTTCTGCACCATCATCTCTATGCTTGACCCTAATTCCTCCTATACTTAGCTTCTGTTCTGTTCTTCAAATCTAACTCTCCCTGTATTCTAGAGTTCAAATTCCTTCAAGACTTGGCCCATCAGTTATCCTCTCATATTTTCATTTTCTTCTCTATACTGGCCCTGTAAATTGATGATTTCCAGGCTTTTAGATTTTACTAGTTAATACATTTTTAAACTAGGAAATCAGATAGGTTTGCCAATTTTTATTTTGTCAAGAAAGTGCATTTTATTTTAATTTAATTTTATTTTTTTTGAGTTGGAGTCTCACTCCGTCGCCCAGACTGGAGTGCAGTGGCAGCTCCCGGCCACCGCA